AAATCAAAAGAGAGGAAGTATATGAATATCCGTGAAAACTGAAAACCCCCAAACCATTCTTGAACATATAAATGCAACTTATAAGAGTTTCGAGGAGCATACGCTTTTAACTTAAAGATATAAATCATGGACGAAGAAAATTGAAATTCTGGCCAGTAAGACAAGAAGAAGAATGAAAGTATAAAACTCTATTTAAAAAATTGCCATAACCAAGCACAAATTGATCAAAGATTGAGTTTGAAAGAGTGAAGAGACTACGCAGTACTGACCTGCAGATTTGAGAATCATAGCCGGCTAAATTTGCAGTTAGAAAGAGAGCTTGTTTCCACTGGTTCACTTGGTCTTGATGAAGCCTGAAGTCTATCTCATGCTCTGCAAACGCCTCCCTGTAAGTTCCCCTCTGATGGCGGACATGAGATGGGTCAACTTGATAGAAGACAGGAATAACAAGCTGTCCTTGGACCTCTCTACACCAAAGGATCTGGAGGAGCTCATTCAAACACCATTTGGAGGAGGCATAGTTCTGAGAGAAGATCACCACAGCTATACTTGAATCCTGAATTGCCCCGATGAGTGCGTCCGAGATGTCATCGCCCTTTGGGAGCTGATAATCTATGAAGGTTCGAATTCCTCTTTGGCACAGGGCAGTACGGAGATGGCTGGTGAAGCTTCTGCGAGTGTCCTCGCCTCTGAAACTCAGAAACACATCATGTTTCTTGGGAGGAAGTGCAGAAGAGGAGGAGGATGAGGATGAAGAAGCAGCGGCCATGATGCTGTGATCAGCTAATTCAGAGCGCAAAATCAGTTACAGTTGACACGTTCTTCTTCGCTGAGAAATGCTGCTAATGGTGACAAAGGAGCAGTTTATTAAAGTAGTGACTGGAGTTGACTGACTTGCAAGTCTTCAGACGCGTGTACGGGAAAGGCAACCTTAAGCTGATTATAGAATATTCTGCAGAAGGTGCAAGTTGAGCTCAGTTCCACGAAACTAGTGCTAACAATATACACGTGAACAATTATCTTTCAGAAACTAGAACCGCTCCCATGTCATGCATAGGATAGAAGAATGTCCGCTCAGCCGAACACATAATTGTGAGCCCTCTCCTTCCTGCATTTCCCTTTTTCTTTCTTCTATTGGTTTCGGTGCCACAACATGTTCTTGCTATAAACGTTCAATATTATATAGGCATATAATAACACTCTAGTATGTCAAAAGGAATTTAAATCCTCTACGGGATCCATGAATATAACATTCATAATCTATGAAGGTTCGAATTAATTCCTCTTGGCATAGGCCTGTGTAGAAATGGCTGGTGAAGGTTGTGCGAGTGTCATTTGTCCTGGACGGGCTTAGTACATGATGGACTGGGTTTACCAAAAAAGCAACTATTGGACCAAGAGCTTGTAATATTGGGCTTCGGGCTATGCAGAAGGAGCTTGGGGTTTTAGGTGCACAAGGAGAGATACAATCACTGTAGAGGCAGAGAATCATTTTGATGAAAGTCGTCTCCCTCTCTGATGCTTCTCTCCTTTGATACTCTCGATGTTTTTAAAATCAGACGGAATAAATCAAGTTAGATTAATAATTAAATTGATGTAATAATTAAATAAAAATAATATTAAATATATAGATAAACTAAATACAAGAAAAAATCTATAATATGTTAATTAAATGACAAAACTATAAATTAGTAATATTATAAATTATAATTTTATAATTCATTAAATATAGGTGAATTTTGATTAAATTAGACATAAATAAACTAAAAAATATATGTATTTTCATATATAATTATCAACATCTATATTAAAAAAAAGTCTCAAATCATATTTTATACATAAAAATTGTCCAAAAATAAAGTTGACTTGTAGTAAAATTTAATTTTTAAATTTTTTATCCTTTTAATTTTTAAAACTTTTTAATATTATATTAAAACCGTCCGCTTTTGTAAAAAATGCTCCAATTTTCCATTCAATTCTGATTTCTGATATAATAGCATTTCACTTCCGGTTCAATCTAATTCAGCTATAAAAATAATTTTTTTGTTTAAATTAAGTCGTTAACAGTTCCAACAATCCAGTTTGGTCTGATTTTCAAATAATTGGATATTCTTCCCTGTTCCTTCTACAATTTCTACTTCTCGTTGTTTCTTTTCTTGCCCATCTCTTCCGCTATTGCTTGTAATTTGAAACTTGCTCATTTATCCCTCTAATTTCAATTCAAGTATCACAATTTGTGGTCAATTTAATATTATATTGTTGCTGGAAATCGTACATTACATCACTGCCTCTGAAACACGTCAAGTTTCGTGGGAGGAAGTGAAGAGGAGGAGGAGGAGGAAGCAGCAGCATCAGAAGCCATGATACTGTGATCGGCTGTTCAAAGCAAAAACACAACATTTTATATAACATTTTCTTCTTCAATTCACTGAGAAATGTTGATAACGATGAAGGAGTAAGGCCGTAATTAAACTAGTGATCGGAGTTGACTGACTTTTAAGTCTTCACAGCCAATTTGATCAGATGAAACTTCCAGGAAGGGTTAAACCAAGAACCATATAATATTCCATGTCAGTTGGGTATTTGAGACTCACCAAACGTGATATATAATTGTTTAGTTGGAGTGGAATAAAGTGAATAGCGACAATAAAAATTATTTAAAAACTAATGTCTTTTTCTAGGGGAGAACGATCAAAAAGTCTCAAAATAACTGATTAATTTAAATTAGGTCTCAAGTGTTAAACTCTAAAAATTTGTATGTCCATTTTTCAATTTTGTAATTGTATTGTGATGAATTTGTAACTTATTTTTTAAATTTTAACATGATTGAAGAATAAAAAAATTGTTTTCCCTATTAAAATTTGGAATACAAATTGAAAATTCATTATAATGAAATTACAAAATCGAGAAATTGGGTTGCAAATTTTAAAATTTAACATTTGAGACTTAATTTGAATTAATTGATCATTTTGGAATCTCTTTGTCATTCTTCATTTGTCTAATATCAAGTTAGTCTAGCCACCTTTTTCTTCTCTTGCCTAAAGCCAATAATTCAGATGGGTCGGGCTTATTTAGATCAAATTTAAACTATCCTATCCCTTCTAAAAAGCCTATATAGCTAAGTCTCGCCTTAGCACCTTCAGGCTTCGAGGTTATTTGGGCCGGCCCGAATACCCAAAACTTTTTAAATATATTTTTTTCTTTATTTTTTGAATGAATTTTAATTTTTAAATAATTATATGAAGTATAAAATATTATTTTAACTTTAAAAGAATAAAATAAAAAATAACTTATCAACCTTGTATTTAAGTAGCTCTGTTATTGTTTTATTGTATTATATATAATGTATTCATGAATGTTTTCTTTACTTATATATTAATGTCTTAGTTGTTTGAATACTGCTTTTATCATGGTCATATATAAATAATTTTATATATTTTAATTTAATTATATTATTTTAATTATAATTAAGTTGATCTCAATTCAATCACGATTAGACTATTAACTTAAAATCATTATCTCAATTAGTTCAAATTTTTTAATAAATTTTAAATAAATTATACTTTTCATTTTTAAGAATATAAGAAAAATAGCCATAATTATATTGTATAAACAAAATTATTTAATTATAAATAAAATACTATTTTTTTGAAATCATTTTTTCTTTAACTTTTTTATACTGTTTAACCCTTACATGTAAGGAATTTTTACTTTAATTTATTCTTAATTTTTAATCAAGTCTAACATGGATAACAATTAAATTATTATTCAAGAATATTATTTTATTCATTATGTTTATCTAATAATAAATTAGGAATTTGAACATGCCCAAATTTTATTTTAAATTTTATTTTTACTTTAAAATTAATTATCTTATTTATAAAAAATATAAAATATATTTTTTTGGATACACAAATGATATATAGGAATCAAAACTTTTTTAAAAAAATTGAAGCTTAAAATATGAAAATAAATATTAAAATATATTTTAAATATTATTTTGAGATATTTTATTAATTAAAAATAATAAAAATATAAAAATATAAATATTTCTCTCAAGCTCAGTTAAAAACCCACGACATCACCGAGATTTGCGACAATGAGAAGAGCATCCAATATTGAAATTTGAACGAGAGGCATCGGAATGAAAGGTGGAAGAGAAGAGTAGAGAAAAACTACAGCGGAGGAGGTGGTGGGAGTTGGTGTTGGCGACGGTGGCTCTCTGTCCACATCGATGGAAATGGTGGAGGTGGCTCTACTTATCGAAGAAGATGGGAGATTATTCCGATGAACTAAACCAATTTCACCTATTAATATTTAAAAATTAATTCCAAATTTTGAGTGAATATTTATGATAATAATATTTAATTTAATATTTAATAATTTATAAGATTTTATTAAAATAAATATTTATTAAATTTTATTTTAACAAAATTTGTATGTGCGAATGTTTGTGTAAAAAGAATTTATAGTCAAATTAACACTTTAATCCTACCATAATAAACCTTATCATATGATTAATCGGCTCGTATGTAATCCACAGAAGCAAAATATTGAAACTGATGATTTTTCATGAAAAGATAAAATTACTTTTCAAAAAAAAAAATATTTCAGAGAACATTGCTCAATGCTTTATTGAAAAAAGTTCAGGAAGAAAATGACCTATAATCCAAGTTTAAAATATCAAGAGAAAAAAAAAAAAAACAGAGGTTCAAAATACAAAAACATACACATCTAGACATCAAGTAAGTAATTTGCTCCAAGTGTGGCCCTCACTTTATCACTCACTCGTCGTTCTGTCATTGATCATTAGCATGATAAAAAGTTATTAATAATGAAATACAATTCTTTATGGTAATGAGATTTGGATCACCATAGATTATCATTGCACAGCTGCATTGAAGTGAGGCAAACAGGTCCTCAACAAATGAAAAATATATTAAAAGAATATAAAATCAATATTTCAACTGCGAAAAATTAATGAACAAAATGTGAAAATATTTTGCTTTAACAACTTATATTAACACTAATATTCAAAAGTGATTAGATTACACAGCTAGCAATCCTTGGAAGCTGCACAAGCAATTGTTTAAAACAGCCACGCCAAGAAGTTAAAATTGTTTCAGATTTTAGAGCCATTACACAAAGATTGATTCACGCTGAAATTATAACACCACCAAGTGATTGTCTTGTCCCAATGTGTTTTTGCAACAATTTACTTGCGGCATCCACAGGAACCCTTAACTCCTTCCAAAAGAAGATATCTTAACAGACGTAAAAGAAATTAGAATTATGCTCTATGTTATGATAAGTGAGTGAAGTAGCTCCAAATCCTTACTGTCAAGTCAGCAGAGATTTCTGTTACAAGAGGTGGAACACAGACCAATAGGACCTTTTGATCTCAAAGATTGGCTCTGTCAGCAGCTGGACTGCTGGACCAAGTGGGAATAGTTATGGAAGCTTCAATGCTGCTTCTGATTTTATTTCCCTTAGAAACAAAAATATCTCAGGTTATGCAGAGCATATTGGTATTACCTTAATTCAAAATTTGCCATGTGACGTAAACTTGTTCCAATTCACGGTGATAACGGTAATTGGAAAGTGCCCTCTCATGACTAGAAAAGACACACGCACATATAGAATGAAAGCCGATCTTTTATTACTCTATGTTATTATCAAACTGGTATAAATATTTCTTATAAGAACACAGTACTTACCAGAGATTTGGCACTTGAATTTATTCTTGGAGGTGCTCCTACTGCAAATTAATGCTCTTGGAAACAACACTTGAATATGCGCCACCAATCATTATAGCTGCCCTTGCTGTAGACCTGTTCCCCGTCAAACTACAAAAGAAGAACACAAACGTTGGTTAACGAAGATACTAAGGACTGTGAAACTTCATTTGCATCAGAAAGTACAAAGCTAATGCAACATTTTTGATATAGTCATTGAGATGAGATATAAAGGATAGCTTCATAACAGCCATAATTGGCAGTCAAAATAGGCTCTGTACTAGACAAAACACCATCAAAGTAAGTAGTATGAAAAAAAGAGAGGGGGGCTCTGCTAAGTGGTAAGAGAAAGAAAAAAAAAAAAGATATCCACTTTTACATATTGATTAACAAATCCCAATAATTTTTGTTGGCTCAAATACATAAATCCATAATGCGTTTTTTAAATAAAAGAAAAAACAGTTACTTGAACTTGCATCAGTTTAACAAATTGAAGCTCAATTAATGGATAAAATATAAAGAGAGAGATATACCAATGAAGAAATGCTAGGCAACCTGTTAATGTGAAGTGCTATCCCTCGGAGATTCCAAATTCAATCCGGATAGTGTGAGTAGTAACTGGTCAATTTTCTCAGGTTGAACAACACAAGATTCCTTCAATTTTTTTGCTAGAGTGAGTTGTTCATCCCCATCATCACAAGTATCCCGGGGCCTCTTTGTCTTCATGCCCTGCTTAGTCTTCAATTCCTTCAGTTGAAGGAAATCGTTATATTCTGAGGCGTATATGGGCGGACTCCACATTCTTTGATCAAACCATCACCAAACTCAAATTGAAATGAAAGCCTTGGATTATAATTACCGGTTCCCTCATCATTGCCTCTTTTTCTTCTAACTCCCTCTATTATCAATTCACAGAAGAGGGGATCATACCATAGGAAAACATTATCTGAGTTCAATTCTATCATAGAATAATGCCATCCTCTTGGGCCTTCAAAACCTCGATCCAAAATTGTTCCTTCTTCCTCATTAATAGTTTCTCCCCAACGGCATCGGCATCCCGAGTGACTCCAATCCTTCTCTTTTGATGAAAATTGGGGAATAAAAAAACAGAAAATGAAACCCAATAAGCCGTCAAAATCTGGAATGACGGAAACAAATATGGAAGAAGATGGTGATGAACTGCGATTAATAAACCACTTCGGAATTGTGGGTTTGGGGAAAGAAACAACGCTTCTTTCAAAATTGTCATAAATTGCCTTCTTTGAGGAAAGACTAGCATATTCCATAATCCCACAAAGTGCATGCTCATCATTATTACCATGACCACCAACTTTTTGGCCACCCATGTTTGACCCGAGTTCTATTTGTTGAAGGAAATTGTGATATTCTGAAGCATATATTGGACACACTCCACATGCTTCTATCAACCCATCATGTTTGGTTATCTTGTAATTCTCATCATAAGTGACTGCAGAAAATTCAAATGAAAGCTTCGGGTTGGCCTTGCTGCCTTGATCGTCCTCTCTTTCTATAAGTTCATTCAAAATACCAACAGAGTAGATTGGATCATACCACATAAACACATGATGCGAATTTAATTTTGCTATCCGCATATCATCACCTTTGCCTTTGACTTGTTCACCATCTTCAAAATATATTTGGCATTTCAAGTAACTCTGACAATTTGACTTTGACATGAACGGAGAAAGAACCGAGCAAAAAACAAAGCCTATCAAGTTGTTCACTGCTGAAGTAAGTTCAATGGTTACGAAACTCGAAGCCTTGGTTGTCTGATCATATCTAAACCACTCAGCCTCAGGAATTTTGCTTCCTGGGTAACAAAAAGCACCAATTCGATTGAGATATGCCACTCGCTTCAATGATAAATTAGCATATTCCTCAATACAAGAAAGTGAAAGCTCCTCCAACTTCAAGCAATTCTCAAAAAAGAGGGACTCCACCAGATATTTCCTTCGTGGTCTAGAAGCTGTTAAAGGGAAGGCAACCTCCAATGATGAGCAATTAGTGGCTTTTACATATTTAGTGAATGGAGGAAGTTCTGGTAGAGACCGGAGTGTCCTACAATTGGTCAGGTAAATGTAGTCTAGCTTCCAAAGATACTTGATGCTAGAAGGCAAGTACTCTACATTGCTTCCGTCCAATCCCAGTACATATAACGATGACAAGGTGCTGAAGTTGTCGGGAAGTTCATTCAAGTTACTACAACCTTTCAAATAAAGGTCTACCAAAGAGGATAAGGCATCAAAAAGCATGCGCAACTTTGACTTGTCAATCACTTCCCCGCAATCAAAGAGAGAGAGCTCCTTGAGAGATCTCAAGCAACATAGCTGCTCAATTGAAAAATTCTTCAGACTTGAGACATTGAGGCGAAGCTTTCTCAGTTTTGTAAGATACCCAGTTGAGGAATAGGGTATTAAAGCCATCATCCCTTCCTCTGGCAACAGTGAAGATCCCATCTGAGAAGTGAGGACTAGTGTCTCTAATGATGAACAATTGGTAGCATCTATTTCTTCAATGGATGGTGGAAGCTCTGGTAGAGATTGTAGCCTCTCACAATTCTTCAAAGAAAGAACTTTTAGCCCCAAAAGATGCTTGATATTGTCAGGTAGCTCAGTTAAGTTTCGACACCCATCCAAACATAATTTTTGTAAAAACCGCAGGGCATCAAACAGATCATGCAACTTCATTTTGTCAATTACTTGTTCACAATTATAAAGGCATAGCTCCTCTAGAGATCTTAAACAGCATAGCTCGTTTATTGGAAGACTTTTCAGTCTTGAACCATTGAGACTAAACTGTCTAAGTTTACTGAGATGCCCAATTGATGAGTCTAATATCTCAATGCGTGTAGTTTCTAGTTCTAATCTTGCCATTTCTTCTGATGACAAAGAAAATTCTGTCAAACTAAAGCACCAATTGAGATAGATTTCTTTGAGAGATTTTAGAGGATTCTCCCCATGAAGTTTCTTCACTTTAATGCATTTATCGAGACCCAAAATGACAAGCCTTTGTAAACATAAGATAGATGGGTGAACATAACACAGACTTTCACAAGATGTGAGATACATTGATTCGAGATTCTGTGCCTTTGAAAAATCAGGTAGCTCTGTCAATTGCTTACACCCAACAAGGTTTATCCTCTTTAAGTTCACAAAATCCTATCACATACAATTAAAAGAAAAGCATCACCTAAGAAAGAATATCATAAGACTTTGACTAAATATTGAAACATATGTTGTCATTTTTTAATTTATTACCTGTACTCCATCCCAAAGTTTTTTAACATGGCTATTTACCATGCGAAGTTCAACAAGTTTCTCAGGACAAAATGATGATGGCAAAGACTCCAAAGGATAATCATCCCATTGAAGGTACCTTAATTGCTCAGGTAATGATTCAAGGCCAAAAGAAAGGTCCACCTTACAAGATCTCCTATCCGTAGGGGAATAGAATTTTAGGAATCTTAGATTAGGCATCTTTTTGAAGGTATCGGTGCTTAAGTGTAAATGTCTAATTTTAGACAAATCTAATACTATGCCTTCAATTGCATCAGTTCCCTGAAAAACCACAATATAAAATAGAAGTAAATTGAACAAAATAAAAATAGATTGAATCTATCATATGAATGTAACATTCTCCATTAATAGATATGTGAGATTATTTGGAACATAAATGCTTCTTCCTTACCTTATTATTTTTTAACACGTGATAGACTTCTTTTAAATCACATAATCTACTTCGTCTTTCAGGTTCTTTAGTACACTCCTGACGAACAATTTCGTAGCCCATTTCTTGTATTAAATCATGCATGCGGACCGTGACACCATCTAGATTTATGAGAGTGCTATCGACAAGGGTTTTTAATCCAATTCTAGCATGGTAGCCAAAGTTCTCTAATAGAGTTATCACATGTTCTTCGATTTCACCCTTCAAAAAGAAAGCTATATCAAGAAACATTTCCTTTTCTTCATCATTTAATGCATCATAGCTCAATCTGAACACTTCAAGAATGTCTTCATTGGGACTCTTTTTGAGTTTTGTCAATGCACTATCCCATTCCTTTGTAGTTTTGGAATGAAGAAATGCACCCAATGCTACCAAAACTAATGGGATGCCTTTTGCATAATCAACAACCCTTTGTGAGTGGGATTCATATCCAATTTGTGGATGGTGTGAGTGAAAGGCTCTGAGGTTGAAAAGCTCAACAGATTTGTGATAGCTCAGGTTGGGCTTCATATATTTCATCAACTCTTCCACTTATAAGCAATTGCTTATGCCTTGTTGTAATGATGACTTTACTGCTAGGTCCCAAGTAATCACAATACGGAGCTAAATATTCTAACTGCTTCCAACTACTAACATCATCAAGCACTATCAAGACTTTTTTACAACTCAGTCTTCTCATAGCAAAGGCGCATGCTGCAACATCAAGTGGTCTGTGATATAAACTTTCTTCCTTTAGTAGCTGAAAGAGAAGCTTATCACGTACAAATGTCAATCCATGCTTTTCGGACTCTTCTCTTAAATTTTCCAAAAAGCAATAACTCTCAAATTGGGAGGAGAGTTTGGAAAATAAAGCCCTAGCCATGGTTGTTTTGCCTATACCACCCATCCCCCAAATTCCAATTACTCGAACCTTTTGCAATAACCTTCTGATCTCGGCACAATTTTCATCAATTCCAACAAGACCTGTCAGTGCTGAACTTGGACAACTGAGGTCAATGTTTTGCAACACATGGTTGACAATGCTTTGAACGAGTTCTGATTCGTCCCTAAAATATAAAAAACAATTAACAAAACCAAAAAGATTTTTCAATACATTAAGCAAACAACAAATTACACACATAACATCCTTTTGATCTCCCTTTCAAGGAAGGCCATACAAAATCTAAGTAGGTGGTGCAATATATTCCAATCAGCAAAAGGCAACACACATGAGCTTGTGTGGCAAGTTAATTGGCACATTCAATAATTTCTCCGAAGACCAGTACAATAGAAGAAAGTATTAAAGTAACAGGAAAGAAAGTAAATAAAATGCATAAAACTCATGAGTTTTGAGGTAATTACATATAACGTCCCTCACTTTTAATCATTTAAAATTAACCCTTATGATCTTTAATTTTGTTTTTCAAAGTCCCTTACTGCTAATTATCCTATTGCATTATTAACAATCTCCCATGTCAAGAAAAGCCACATAAAAGCTTGTGTGGCATCTTATGTGGCAAAATAATAAATGTATGAAAATTATATTATTTTTATAAGGATTAAAATGTCATTTATGTTTAAAAAAAAAAACCTAGTTGCCCTTCCATCTTGCCACCGCACAGTGGCACATAACAATTTCTTTCAGGGTCGCAAGAGGCAAAGGATTCAATTCCATGAATGTCCTTAATTAAACAAAATATTATATCATAAAACTATTTAAAATCAATTTTTATATTTTTTTTAATAGGTGAGGCTTGATAAGGAAAAAAATTGTTATTATCATTGTATAAAATTTTAAATATATATTTTTATATTAGTTTTATTCATATTTTTTTGTTATCAATAATGGTGCATAGTTTTGTTATATTAAATGATAAATTTTATTTATACAATTTTTATCAATAACATCTTTTAGATATTTTTATTTTTATTTTTTAGTATAAAGGGCTATTTTAATTGATAAAAAATAATAAAATTATAATTTTTTAAATTGTATTACCCGTGAACAATGAAAAAAAATATCCATCAACTAAAAAATTGAAAGTATCATCATGTATGTTAAAAATAAAAATTATAATTTTGCCCATTCTCAAATTGTCTTAAAAAATAATAAAAACATTTTTCCTTATCATATGTCATGTGCATTTTATTAATCTAATATGAAAATAGTATATTAATAACATATCAGTTAATTAGCAATGAGGGATTTTGAAAAACAAAATTAAATATCTAGAGTTAATTTTAAATGTTTAAAAATAAGGAAAAATCATATACATCTGTTACCAAATTTAGGAAGACTTTATGTATTTTAGCCCAAAAAGTAAAAGATTGGTAAGAGATGGACTATCAATTAAAGTGACCAAAAAATAAAAAATAAAAAAGGAGAAAGACAGTTAAATTTTAAAAAAATGAATTAATAATAGTTACGTGTTTAACAAAACTTTTAATAATAAATTATAAATATCAATTCAAATAAAAGTTTTTGGTACAATCTAAAAGTTATATTTAATATTTAAATATTTATTTATAATTAAAATATTTATAATAATTTAAATTGATATTTTTAACTTATTTTTTTAAAAAAATTTGTCATTCTCTCAAACAAAAATATGTTACTTATCTCCGTTGACAATTGAATAAAGGTGGCAGTAGCACAACTTAAAACTTGAGCGCAATGCTGATAGATACCGTACGACATGGCACCACTTCAAAGATATTTTCGCTCCACTCCTTCAAACCTAACACACACCTAATCGCCTCGTCAACATTATTTTTGATCGAAAGCGTGATTCATGAGCCATGAAGCTGTCAAGTTACTGTTGTTATTTTTTTTTAGAAATAAAAGGTCAAACTTAATGAGAGGATATAAATATTTTATTTGTTAAGATTTAAATATTCTATTTTTATTGTTGTCCAATACTTGATATGGAACAAATATTTCTTCAGTGTTTTTGATAATGTAATCATGTATTAAAAAAATTGAGTAGGGGCTCCATAAAATACAAATTTGACGAGATGGCACTATTTGAGGGACACTTTTATAGAGTACCTCTTAAAATTGAATAGAGAAGAATTATATGAGCATCACTCAATAAAGATTAATCCAATTGTAATAAATATAGTTGACCTATAACTTTGCTATCCATGTGTATGCCTTGTTAATAGGTAATATCTTGACTTATCATACAAATATGACTTGCGCAAGTTTCAAGGAGCAAGTGCTTTTAACTGAAGGTATGAAATCATGGACGAATTAAGAAGATATTGAAACTCTGGCCAGTAGGACAAGAAAAAGAAGAAAAGTATAAAAATGTAATGAATTGATTTCTAACTAAGCATAAATTGATCCAATTAAAGTTGCAATTTCAAAGAGTGAGGAGATACTATACTGACCTACAGGTTCGAGAATCCCAACCAGCTAAATTTGCAGCTAGAAAGAGAGCTTGCTTCCACTTGTTGACGCTGTCTTGATGAAGCCTGAAGTCTCTCTCATGCTTTGCAAACGCCTCCATGTAAGCTCCCCTCTGATGGCGGACATGAGATGGGTCAACTTGATAGAAGACAGGAATAACAAGCTGTCCTGGACCTCTCTACACCAGAGGATCTGGAGGAGCTCATTCAAACACCATTTGGAGGAGGCATAGTTCTCAGAGAAGATCACCACAGCTATACTTGAATCCTGAATTGCTTCTCTGAGTGCGTCCGAGATGTCATCGCCTTTTGGGAGTTGATAATCTATGTAGGTTCGAATTCCTCTTTGGCATAGTGCAGTATAGAGATGGCTGGTGAGGCTTCTGCGAGTGTCGTCGCCTCTAAAACTCAGAAACACATCATATTTCTTGGAGGAATAAGTGACGAAGAGGAGGAGGATGAGGATGAAGAAGTAGCGTTCATGATATTTTCGATCAGCGCAATTCAGAGCGCGCAAACAATTACAGCAATTCAGAGCGGCCATGAGAAAGTGCAGAAGAGGAGGATGACGGAGCAGCAGCAGAAGCCATGATACTGTGATCAGCTGTTCAAAGCGAACGACCAACAGTTTATCGAATTTTCTTCTTCAATTTGCTGAGAAATGTTGATAACAATGAAGCCATGAAGGCGTAAGGCAGCAACTAGTGATCGATTGGAGTTGACTGACTTTCAAGTTCACAGCCAATTTGATAATGAAATTAAACTTCCGGAAGGGTTTAAACAATAACTATATAATATTATATGATCAGTTAGGTATTTGAGACTCACCAAAGGCCATTTATCTGGCACTGGCAGTATATATAATTGTTTTCTTGAAGTGGATTGAAATAAATAGTGGCACTAAAAATCATTTGAAAACTAATGTCTTTCGTCTAATATCAAGTCAGTCCAGCCGCCTGGGCAGAGGTCTGACGAGTTGTGAGAGCGATTTAATCGTAATTTAAACGATCATGATCTTTCCTCCTTTTTTTCCCCCTTCTCTCCCTGCCACTCTCAACTGTCAATGGGAAAGCGGCTACATGATGTTCTTGTTTTAAACCTCTGCGTTATTAAAGTGTGCAATGTTACCTGATCACTCTCCATATTCTTATATATTTTTAAAAGTTTCATTAGTTAATTAAAAAGTCATTTAGTGATTTTTGGTTAAGTTTTTTGTGTTTAGTATTTATTTTGAATATTAGTTAGCTTATTTTGTAAATATTATACTTTGATTTTTTGAGTAATTTTTATTATTAATTTGAGATGTTTTAATTTTAAGAATTCCTACAAAAACTTAAAAGATGTAGAGGAAGAAAATATAATGAATTTTAAGGGGGGACAATGGAATTTAATGTTATCTGTTACAGCAACCATACTACAGTGAGTCAGTATTATAGAGCAAATTTTAAATTAAAAATAAAGCTCACTACAACAAATTTTATACCCAAAACACACAGTTTCGATTTTTCAGATTGAAAACATTAGAGAACAAATGTTGTCCCAAAGTTTGACTTTGGAAAAGCATTTTGAGCCGTAGGAGACAATTTTGGAGGGCTAGCATTGATTTAAGAGTTTGGAGGCAAATGATTCATGTGCTTTTTGTGATTCAATATAGTTTAATCTTATTTTTTCCCTTCTCCAATTTTTCTTATTTGGCACTTTCATTTTGCTGCTATGGGATTGATGTTGTTAATGTATAGTTAGATTTTTTTTTTCAATGACCTAAGCAATCATAAATTTGTTTATGTATTAAATACTATTTTCTTCAATTACTCTATAATTAATGTTAGTTTTGATCACTTAATCTCATTTATTTTGTCATAATAGATGATTGGGGGTTTAGAGTTTATCTTGAAAAAGAAAATATTAAATGGACCTTAAGATTAGGTAATACAGGGTTAGAATTTATTTTGATTTGTGATTAGGATCAGAATATACCTCTTCGACCTATATAATCATTTTAGAGTGCTATTAAATTTCTAATGCCTCTTGGATGATTGCATTAAAATCAACATTCTTATTTAAGAGAGGTTGTAATTGATTGGGAAGATATTTCAACTAAATACACACTAAATTAACCAATCAATATTAATCATAAGTAATTCAATGGAGATATAGTCTAAGAATTTAACAAGATCGTAGAAGCCTAGGTTATCTCTTTTATAAAATTATTGTTTGGTGAAATCACTTGCCTTTACCTTTTAATTGTTAGCTTTTCAAGTTCATAAATTCTCAATCGTGATTTGCTCTACTTAAATGAAATTAAAACATTAATGCTTATTTTTCATTTTGCTTGATTATCTATGGTATCGACCATAATTTACCATTAATTATAGTTTTGATTTGTATGCTTGCGATATCTATTGGTTTTTCTATGCCTCATTACTTAGGGAAAGTGACATTTTGGTAACAAAAGAAAAGTTAGATAATTCTATATAGGGTTAAAAGGGTATTTTCGCCTTTTACATATTCATTTAAGAGTGTTTACGGATTCTAAACTTGTAGGTGGTGCAATTTTTCTTGTTAACATTTGAAAATAATTCACCAGCATTTGCAATTGAAAAAGTTAACTTCAATTATTAGTTAATTAAAAAATTATCAAAAAAAGATATAAAAATTACATACAATGACCCACAAATTTGCAAATAAATACCTTATAAAAAATTAATATAAATTAAGTCTCTAAAATGATAGTTGGTCAAAATTGTATTTTCAATTTTTATGTGAGTAAGAAATAACATTTATATCATAATTTTTATATGTAATTTAAGAAACTTAATTGATATTAAATTTCGTACTTATTGATACTTTTATAAGTGATTTTCTATAATTTTTGAAACCCTTTTATGTAGTTTTTAGTATATTATGAATTTAGAAAGATAAATGCTCTATTTGGAGCAACATTTTCATCTAATGCACACCAACTACGAGAAATAGTAAGGAAGTAAATCACTTGTTTTGTCATTTTTTTTTTGTTTTTAAAAAGGTTAAATGATAGTTTTACTTTTAAATTATAACTATAGGAGCATCTAAAATTTTAAATTTATTTTTAATATAATATTTCTTTAAAACATTTAAAAATAGTGTAATGTTTTCCTACTATTAACATATGTTAATTTTATCATTAGTTGACTAAAAAATTAAACCAACAAAATCACAAAACAATAACAATGAAAATTATAAATAAGTAGCCTATAAGAAGTTAAATTATAGGTCTACTGATGTTTAGTATTTTAAACTCATTTTTAATATAATGTTCTATTTAATATTTGAAAATACAATGTTATCCTGCAATTAATAAAAGTTAATTTTAAATATTAATTGATAAAAATTAAAAAATATATATAGAAAGTTATAGAAAACAAGCTAAAAATTACAAATAAATACCATATAAAAAATTAATACTGATTAAATTGTTTAAATTAAATGAAAAAGAAATACTAATTAAAAAAAATGTTATGTCTTTTACTTGGCGTGCAAAGCTGACATTAATCCTTTCACACACGAAGTTCCTTCTCCCATTTATTATCCTTTTTTTTCATTAAGCAAAATTTCGATTCCATGCATAATCTTACTTAACATGATACACATTACACGATATTGTTATGAGAAAATGATAATAAAATTTTAATCCCTTAAAGTACCATAATTCTCTTAAAATTTTTAAGAATTTTTTGACATTAAGGAATTAATATAAAATACCAAATTATCCTTAACTGAAATAAAAATTTTAAGTTTTAAAATAGATATTTCGTGCCCTTGATTCATAAATTTTGTTCTAAGATTCATAAATTTTCTTCCTAAAATTACAAGAATTCAATAACAATTCGCAAGTTCGCATTTAAAATCTTAATATTTTTCAAATGTTGCAAATATTAATTGCTATTCATAAGTTTTGTTGTAAGATTTATAACTTTTCTTCTTAAATTTACAAAAATTAATAGCAATTTGAAAGTTCATATTTGAAATCATGATATTTCTTAATTGTTACAGATATTAGTTGTTATTTACAAGTTTTGTTATAAGATTCACAATTTTTTTTTAAAATTGTAAGAATTCAATAGCAATTTTGCAAGTTTACATTTGAAATTTTAATATTTCTCGAGTATTGTAAATATCAATTGTCGTTCATAAGTTTTATTTTACTATTTACAACTTTTTTTTTAAATCGTAAGAATTCAATAACAATTTGTAAGTTCGCAAGTATCTAACTAGTACAAAATTAAATTTCAATGACATATTTTTTGCCATAGTTTTTCAAGAAACTGTGGTAGAAATAAACCTAGGAGCACTTTCATAAATAAAATGCAAAATATCATTTATAGTGATAGTCCTCAAAACAAAGGTGTCTGATTTAAAATATTTTAAATAAAATTTAACAATTAATTAAATCAAATAAAAGTATTAAATATATTGTTAATTATTTCCATTAATTGAATAATAATTAAGATATATGAATTATGTCCCAAATAAGACATATTAAATTATATTATTTAATAAGTCATAATAATCATTAAAATTAATTTACTAATAAATAAATTTCAATTATAATAGTTTATTTTAAATATTAAATTCATAAGTAATTGAAGTACAAGAGTATATAATAACTTATATTAATTATTTCATAATTGTGTCTGAATTAAGACATATTTTATGTGTCTTACTTCTGACAAAATAATTTATAATTCATTAAATTTTTGTAATAAATAATATTATTTTATTAATTTTTTAAGGTGAGACCATGTTGTACAGTTGTGAGAGGCACCTTTAGCGAAAAGCCCAATGGTGCCTGTCATCGAAGGTTCCAACTGAGGGTTCTAACAATCAAAAGAATCTCTAAGCTTCAATTTCAATCGGTGCAAAATGATTTGAAATGATTGGTTTTGGTGGTAGTTGAAATGAATGTATTTTTTGATGAAATAAACGTAGTCAAAAAGATTATTAGGAAGCCTATTATGTTCTGAGTCATCGAAAAAGATATTAATGATCTCATTATTTTTGAGTGGTTAGACTTGGTAATAATTCAAATTTTTATCATGTAAGTATTCATTTTTATTTCTAAATTATTATTTAATATTTTTATCTTATTGCTAATGTATTTTTATTATTAAAGGTACCTCCATAAAATATGTACTAAACTCAGTGTCGATGATAATTATGGGTTATTGTCTTCACTTTTAACAAAATGTGGCAAAGTGAATTAAAAAGCTTCTTATATTGAAAAGAGGATGTGCAAACAAAAGAAGAGATGTTGGTTTTAGTAATTATTGAGAGGTGTTACATTTTAAATTCACCCCTTAATTTATAAAATTTGTTTCTTAATAATGTGATATTAATATAAATTAATATATTGTAGTCATTATTGGATACTTCTTGTCATTTGCCCATATGAAAATACTATATATTGGTTTTGTTCACTACAAAAGAAAATAAGTGACGATATGAAGACTTTGATTAAATTGTAAGTTTTTGAATAATTTATTTTGTGTTATTAATAACATATATTTAATATTTTTAAGTGTGTATATTTGGTAAATAGATCTTTAGCGATATATTAAAAATTAACAGGAATGGTTGACAAGAAAAAAAATGAAATCAAGTGAGTACCAATGCAACTAAGTATTTTAAATTTATTTCCTAATTAGAATGAAGATTATAATATTGATATAATAAATTTA